TGGTTAGACGTTCCATGTATAGCGTGATCTGTTTGGGTGGGTTTTCTATAAATGTTGTACTCTAAAGAATCTTTGTTACGGGATATAGTCATATCCAAGAAGTTCAACTTATTGTCACTTATTGAGATCATCCAGAATCTGTAGAGCATCATCTTGGGTTCCCTTAATGAGAGCTATACAATCATCCACATATCTTGACCAAAAAACTATTTTGTTGTTGTTGTTAACAAACTTCTGTTCTAAGTTGTCTAAGAAAACGTCAGCTAGAAAAGGTGATAATGGAGATCCCATTGCTAAACCTGTTGGTTGCTTATATATCTTTTGGTTAAATTGAAAGAAGTCCTGATCAAGACAGAATTTAAGCATAGTTGATATAGCATCTTTATCCTTTGCAGATATGTTGCAATTATCTAGAAGGTTGTATACGTAAGGTAAAGTTTCATCTCTTGGTACAGAAGTAAACAAATTGGAAACATCAAAAGAAACTAAATAAAAATCCTCTTCTATCCTAATGTTATTTAAACGTTCTATTAGATCTAAAGAATTTTTGATGGAGAACTTAGGTTTAAAATTAGTGATAGACTGAATTGTGTTGTAGATGAACTCTGATAAAATAGAAACTGGAGTGTTACAAAAACTTACTACAGGCCTTATGGGACAATTGTGTTTATGGATTTTAGGAAGTCCATATAACCTAGGTGTTATAGGATTAGATTAGACTAGAAATAGACTACTATTTCTTACATTCATACTTTATGTCAACTTCAATTGCTCTCAAACTAAAATCCTAATTATTATAGACAAGTTTGAGTGTGAGATCTGGATTATTCAATCTGCATAAAAATATTAGATATAATTTTATATTTCTTCATTGATTTCCTATATTGGTGTCAGTTGGACCTTTGGTCAATACTTAGTTTCATAGAATCTTGAAAGGCGCAGATCACTTATCTATTGTAACTGCCCTTCACAAGCTGTCATTTGTCACATGTCATCTCAATATTTCCGCCTCCGCCAGGCTGGGAGCCATTCTGTCTCCGGCTTCTATATAAAATGTAGCTTCTCCAATTTTTAATTTTAAAGTGTTTGTTTGTCTTTGTTTAGTGTATTTGTTATGTCCCAATTTACATTTATGACATTCTGTTACTACTGGATAGACTGACGAAGTAAGTCTATAAACGTTAATCACATAAAAAAAAAACTTTTTTCAACTATAAACTTGGAGTTTTTATCCAAGTGAATTAATTTTCCTAAAAAAAAAAACGTTTCTTGGCTTATTTCAGATGCCCCTGAAGATGATCTTGTGATCGAAAGTACTTGGGCAGGATTTGATTAAATACTGTGTTCGATATTTGCCTTGTGTATCATCAAAGTTCATTTATTCGAACATTCAACCTTATATTGAGAAATAACATTGTTTATAAAGAAGTAAAGGCTTTAAAAGTTACATAAAAAAATTAAAATATACATAATATAGTAAAAACAACTATCAAAAAATTCAGAAAAGTACCCCATCATACTTTACATTTACTTGGTTTACATGCAAGAAGTTTATTATTTAAAAAAATTCACGAGTGCTGTTGAAGGCAGCCGATTGGACCTTCCGTTGCATGCGATGGGCAAAATGACTAGTAATTTTATATTGGTCTACTAGACCAGTGTCGAAGCTTTTAAAAAAGGTAAAAAGTATAAAAAAAATATAGTATAATGAAACATATTGGAAAAAGAAGAGAATATGGTAAAATTGGATGAAAAAATAAATTACCAACCGAGGTCGGGGAGTTGGGTAGGGGGGAGGGGTTTAAGGGTAAAAATCAGTTTATCGCGATTTTCTGCAAAACTGCAAGTGCAATAGAAAAAAGTTAAATAGAAAAGTTGTAGATCATTCTACAACTTTTATATTTACACTTTTTTCACATCACCTTAAAATTTTTGTGGAAAATTCAAAAAAACTAAGTTTTTGATTTTTTATTTTTATCTTTTGAAAAAACAAAATTTTTTTACGAAATTTGGTGAAAACTTGCTTTAGTATGTAACAAATACACTGTAATTTTTTAGAATTAAAAAATTTATTTTTTTACCTGATATTGAATTATTATCGAAAAAGCACCCTAATTTTCAATCGAAAATTCACGCGTCAAAATATCAGTTTTTTTAAAAAAGTCGGTAGGCTTTTTGTTTGTTGAAATCTCTACTTTCCGACAGTGTAAAAAAATATACATTACTATGGAAATGTTCACAAAAAAACGCAAAAAAACGATTAATACTCGAATCGAACATTTTTTTATCATTTTTTCATCAAAAACTTAGTGTTTTGAATTTTCCACAAAAATTTTGAGGTTATGTAAAAAAATTGTAAATACAAAATTTGTAGATCTTTTTGTTACCTACAACTTTGCTATTTAACTTTTTTCCATTGCACTTGTAGTTTCGCCGAATATCGCGATAAATTCTATTTTTACCCTTAACCCCTCATTTCATGATCTTGCATGGAGTGTAATTTAATTTTTCTTCCAATTTTAGCATATTCTCTTCTTTTTCCAATAGGTTTCATTCTACTATATTTTTTTTTGTTTAAAAATTTATCGACTCCGGTCTATACATAATAACAGTAGTTAAAATGTTAAAGAATATTATACTTTTTGGTTTTTCTTGACGTGCCTATCCGTTACGAATGTTGGCGATCATCATAGCAATCTTTATCTTGTCTGCAGTAGCGCGAAAGAGCTACACATATGTTGTATTGAACCATATTCTGAGGTTCTTTAACCAAGGTATTCTTCTTCTTCCTGGACCTCGCTTTCCAAATATATTTCCTTGCAGGATGGCTTGAAGGAGAGCATATCTGGATTCATTTCGCATAATATATCCGAAGAATTGTAATTTTCGAGATTTGATGATGGTCTGTACCTCTCGGTTCTTATTCATTTTTCTGAGAACCTTCTCATTGGTGACTCGGTCAGTTCACGAGATCTTGAGTGTTCTTCAATATAGCCACATCCTAAATGCTTCCAGTTTTCTGCACACATCTTCGTTTAAGGTCCACACATTCAACACCACCATAAAAAAGGACATAGAAGATTGAGCTCTGGTGGAACCCTCTTCGTATTATCGAGCTCTGGGTGACTTGGTACGTTGGGGTATCTCCCAAAAATTTTTATGCGCATCGTATAACATCAAATAACATCAGTAATAGACTAATGGGTATGGTCTGCTTACTTTTTATTCTTCGCTATCTCCTTATTTTTATTTTTAGATGTTTGTAATTGGCGATTTTTTCGTTGTATTTAACCAGCAGATTATTGTTGTTAGGTATCGCTACACTATCAGTGCTGTTTGTCTAATAAATGTGTTAACTAGTATGAGATTTGGTTTTGGCCTATTATGCGCCACTAGTTAGTCTGTGAGCAAAATACGGTTCAGGTATAGGTTGTAGTTGTCATTTTCAAGCATGTTCAGGCATTTATATAAGGGATATGGTCGGTTTGGAGAGGTCTGAGTTTGTTGGCTAGTTCTTGGAAAATATTCTTTTCTGCTAAGCCGTAGCGTTCTTTATAATAAATATGGACAAACGCGTAGCAGTCTCTGGTCAGATGTTGGATAGATTAGTCGGCCTAACATATTTATTGGAATTTATTGTTTTAAAATTAAGGATCTGTGACAACATAATTAGAACAACCTGATCCTAAATGGTCCTAAATAGGAAAACCTTAGGTTGAGGACTAAAAAAGATGCCAGTATGGATGCGCTGAAGAAAGCAATTATACGTAAATGGGCCAAAATACCGGAAGATCATATTCATACAGCATACAACTCATTTTTTGATCGTTTAAATGCCATAGTCAAGGCAAAAGATGGCCACATTGTTATTTGAATCAATAAAAAATAAATTCACACAAAAAAATTATGGTCGTTTGAATAGGTAACATTTCAATTGCGCAACCCTGTATATAAAAATCACTACACCTCTTTACCGTTCTCCTATAGCATGATATTTTCTAGATATTCGTTTTGCTACGATTTATGGTTATGAATGGTTTGCGCTCTTTACTTGTGCAGAACTTATTTTTTCGCAACTTTGTCTATCCAGAACATTCTTAATGTGCATCTTTAACTCCGCTTTTCTAATACTTTATTTCTCTTCAGTGACGCTTTAGTTAAAGTCCATGAGTTGACAGTTGATATTGCCGACTCAATCCTTATTTTAATTTCTGTCGGGTGCTTCCACTGTTTGTTTGAATTCGCACCTAAATGGATAAGTTGGTGATTTGTAATACCGGTTATTTATTGTCTAATAATTGTCGCCTTGTTCTCTTATTTTTAAATATAGCCATTTATTTCGTTTAAAAATCGTATAAAAATCAAGTCTCGTGCTTAAAGAATGTCAAAGAATGAGTGGAAATACGGAGAGTCTAATAACTGTTCAGAAGAAGTTAGGAAAGAGAGAGTCTTGCCACATTCATTGCTCAAATCAAGAAGATTAACAAGACACGTTAAGAAGAAGACCAGATTGACTTCATCTTTAGAGCCTCATCACGTATCTTGTGTTTGTTCAATGGTTCTCCATTTGTAAGTATTACCTCGTCTGGTAATGAGAAAGTGCTATATATTGTAACCTTTATGACATAATGACATGCACAAATATTACTAAATGATTGCAGAAAACAACCAAAAGCCAGCTTAAAATCGTAAATGGTTTTTCTAGTGGACAAAAGCAGTCCAGTAACCTACAATGGAGCTGTTTTATATACACTCAAACTTCAGACTCTGTAGCAGAAATTCTAAATATTAAACTGTATTTTGCATAACTGTGACGCACTAGATCACAGGTGGCAAACATTTTTTGGGGACTCCAAAAAAATACTACGCAAAACCTACACCAGGTGATACGTAATTTTAGAATTTTGGAATCGGTATCATGAAAACCTATGAGCTATGGTATGATTGGATTTCGTTAAAAAATGCAGAAACCCATTTAATAAAATAATATATTAACTTACCGCAAATTCTTCTGGAAACATACCCTGAGCAGCAGCGTCCACTTCATCTTGAGTCGTTCCAGTTATAGCACGACATTTCTCGATCCATTTCGCACTATCAGTTCTTAGGTGAACACCAAAGTCCTAAAATAAAAAATGTATTGTTTTGTTAAGTAAATGTTAAGAAAGACGAAAGTTAACGAAAGTTGAAGGCGGCAACTTATCATACATCGTTCTGATATAAAAAGTAGACCAAAATTCATAAAAGTGGTCTCTTAATATTGAGGACATATCCGAGAATGCAAAGATGCCAAATTTAGAGTAGCTTCAAAATATTTTTCAGAATGATTGGACAAGAAAGTTTTAATTACATAACAACAATAATAGTTTAAAATGTGACACAATTGTTAAGAACTTCAATATAAATAAGCTTTCATGTGGCAGTTTTTTTGCACCACACTAACTTTAAGCTCCTGGCGTTACATATATGTAACGCAGAAACCGCTAAAATCATCAGCCTGAAATTCGGAAAGTGATTTTATTGTTTTTTTTTCGGCTTTTTCATTTCAGCCGAAAAACAATTAAAATGGTATGGACACCTGAGACGGATGAACGAAGAAAGGATACCACGAAAGGTTTGTAACTGGAGACCTACACAGAGAAATAAAAGGGGAAGGCCAAGAAAGAAATGGATATCCAATATTCATATAGAAATGGAAAATAGAGGTCTTTAAGAAGGAGACTGGGCCGATAAGAAATGGCGATTGGGATGCGAGAAGCGACAAAATTAAAGTTGCAAACACTCGCTATATATATATATATATATATATATATATTATATATATATATATTATATATATATATATATATATAATATATATATATATATATATATATATATATATTTTATTGTTAACTAGATGGTGATGCATGACTTTGAAGAGATACTTGTTTATTAGTTTACAGCATGTGGTTCAAGGATTTGACCTAACCTGTTTATTTAGTTGAGTGTTTGGTGCGACAGTGTTTATTATTTTCGGTAAAAATGAATTTAAAGTTTGAGTAAATATATTTTTACACTTTTTTTGTTACCATATTTTGTTTAAAGTGTTTTTAATTCAGCATAAACTAATGTCTTTTCTTCTTAATAATATAAATTTTACCAAATTTTATCCTGATTTTGTAAATTATGACTTTTATTTTGGTGTTACATATATGTAACGCTAGGAACATATGGGAGTAAAAATATGAACTTTTAGAATCGTAACGTATTTTCTGTTTTAAAAAAGGATTTTCTCTTCAAGAAGCACTGGAGTTGATTGATGCCGATAAATCTTTAGACGTTGATGCTATATATACTGAACCCCCAGAATTTTATGTGCTAACAGACGAGTAGTCTGGTGATATGGAAGAATATGATTTGAATAGGTTGTCCGGGAAAATTCTTAGGGCCAATGGTAATTTGATAAGTCAATACGCAGCTTTTCCTTCCGGGTTATTTTTTCATATTTCTTAAACCTTTCCTCAGTTGAAATTTTTGAAAACTTAATGGTAATTAATTTATTAATTTGAATAACTTAATAGTAATAATGGGACTTAGTCCCATTTTACAGATGAGACTAGAAAGTATGTTCTTTTTAAAAACGCCCAACATCCAAATATTCCTAGAGAAGAGGTAACGTGTGCTCTTGCTATTCTAATTTTGAGCGGATATAACCACAAGCCATCTACAAAAGCAATAGTGGAATTTAAAACGTGAAATGGGCAATGATTTCGTGAAAAATTCTATGAGAAAAAATGGGTTCGAACAAATGTGATGCAGTTTTTGCATTTTGCTGACCTGACAACATTAAAACCAGATGTTGTTCTGAAGCTATTTTCTTGTGGCATTTTAAATCTATTACTATTTAACTGGGAATAAGCCACAATTAAAGATAAAAATACGTTTATTACCGTTTCAATTTCCACTTCGGAAATCGTTCTAAAAATACAAACAGTAACTTAAACAAATTTTGTTTTTTTTACATAATGAAAAATTCTTCTTCTAATAATGAAAAATGTAATTCGTCTTTAAAAAGACAAACACATGACATGATAACAGTAAAATTCTCCTGTTAGTGATTCCGTAGTAAATTATGAGGGAAAAACCAGGAAATAAACCTCAGAATACTATCCCGACATGGTAACTATTTGTTCGTGCATTTAGTTTACCTTCAATAAACAAAAAAATTCTGATTTTATATGTTTCGTTATTTAAAAACATAAATGATGTATCCTTTTATGTTACTGACTTACTACTACCGTTATTTTCTTATTAATAACTTCCTCTTTCAATATTGGTAACCAGATCCTACTACATTCTGCCGAGGAATTTGCGACACAATTGGCCTCATTTAGCATAATTAGAGCCGCTTCTTTGATTTTTTCTTTTTTTACCACCCGTTTCCTTTAGGACTACATTTAAATTATTCCATTGAATCCTATTTTTATTATCTCATGCGTGTTTACATATTTGAGATCTATCAAATTCTCTATTTTTAATATAAGATTGATGTTCACTTATTTTAATATTTAATGGCCTTGATGTTTCACCTAAATAAAACTGGTCGCATTCACAAGGTATTTTATAAATGCAATTCTTTGTCCTTTCTTGTTCATTGTTTTGAATGTTGTTGAAATGTTTAATTTATTTCCTATCCTTTTAAGTTTTTCTGATAATCCTTTTATATACGGTATTGTTATTTTCCTCGTATTATTCCTTGTGTATGCTGTAGGATCTCGTTCTAAGTTGTTCTGTTCTATTCGATCGATTGTTGAAAATTTCTTATTTATAAACGATAAAGAATAATCATTTTTTAATAAAACAGATGTTAACAAATGTTTCTCCTCCAAGAACGAATTTTCGTTAGAACAAGTAATTTTAACATTATGTACTGATAATACATATTTTCAACTAAATAATGAATTCTAAAAACAAAGTTTTTGTCTAGAGATGGGCTCTAGTTTATCTCCATTCTTAGCCGATATATTTATGGAAGATTTTGAAACAAATATCATTTCTAAACAAAATTTCAAACCCACAGTATGGTGGAGGTATGTAGATGATGTATTCTCAATATGGCCTCATGGATCAGAGTTGTTGGACACATTCCTTAATGATATAAACGATAAAGAAACGACAATAACATTTACCATGAAAAAGGCATATAATAACACGCTACATTTCCTGGATGTTTTAATCTCTAAGAATGATACTGGATATAAGACTCGGGTGTATAGAAAAATCAAGACACACCAATAGATATTTAAATTTCAAATCAAATCACAATATTAATGTAAAAAAACAGAATAATTAAATCCTTATACGATAGAGCCAAAATTACTTGTTCTAATGAAAATTCGTTCTTGGAGGAGAAACATTTGTTAACATCTGTTTTATTAAAAAATGAATATCCTTTATCGTTTATAAATAAGGAATTTTCAGCAATCGATCGAATAGAACAGAACAACTTAGAACGAGATCCTACAGCTTACACAAGGAATAATAGGAGGAAAATAACAATAACGCACATAAAAAGATTATCAGAAAAACTTAAAAGGATAGGAAATAAATTCAACATTTCAACAACGTTCAAAACAACAAACACGTTGAGATCTATTTTGTCCAAAACCAAACCTAACAATGAACAAGAAAGGACAAATAATTGCATTTATAAAATACCTTGTGAATGCGATCAGTTTTATTTAAGTGAAACATCAAGGCCATTAAATGCTAGAATAAATGAACATCAATCTTATATTAAAAATAGAGAATTTCATAGATCTTAAATATGTAAACACGCATGGGATAATGAACATACGGTTCAATGGAATAATTCAAATGTAGTCCTAAAAGAAACGGATGGTAAAAAAAGAAAAATCAAAGAAGAGGCTCTAATTATGCTAAATGAAACCAATTGAGGCCAATGTAGTAGGATCTGGTTACCAATATTGAAGTAGGAAGTTATTAATAAGAAAATAACGGTATTAGTAAGTCAGTAACATAAGAGGATACATCAATTATGTTTTTTAAATAACGAAACATATAAAATCAGAATTTTGGTGTTTATTGAAGGTAAACTAAATGCACGAACTAATAGTTACTATGTCGGGATAGTATTATGAGGTTTTTTTTCCTGGTTTTTCCCTCATAATTTACTACGGAATCACTAACAGGAGAATTTTACTGTCATCATGTCATGTGTTTGTCCTTTTAAAGACGAATTACATGCTATGATTTTTTCTGACAAATATTCTCAAGTTAAAGTTGATTTCATGTAATCGAATGAATTATCTTATAAGTAAAGTCGTCCCAGGAGCGCAACTCAACAATATTGGCAATATCATGTTAAAGTCGTCTACTTTAAAATGCATAATGTATGTCTGAATTGTCAATATAAATAAGTCAGATAAAATTAAATTATTAGAAGAATTTTTCACTATATAACAAAAAACAAAATTTGTTTAATTTACTGTTTGTATTTTGAGAACAATTTCCGAAGTGGAAATTGAAACGTCAATAAACGTATTTTTATTTTTAATTGTGGCTTATTCCCAGTTAAATAGTAATAAACCAGATGAAAACGACAAAGCCTGAAAAATCTGCCTTTTGATGAATATACTAAAAAATAAATTTTTACAACATTTTGTGCCCGAATCACAAATCAATTATAATGAGAGTGTGGTAAAATACTTTAATAGGCACAGTTATAAACAGTTTATAAGAGAAAAACCTATACGTTTTGGATACAAAATGTACTAATTGAACAATAAGGCAGGATATCCCATAAACTTTGATTTATATCAAAGCAAACAGCCTAATAGTATGGTCAATGATGAAGTGTTGTAGGTATGTAAAAAAAGTTTTTGCTATAAATTGTATACCGACATATTATCTACAAGTTCATTGTTACTTTCCAATATGAGAGATCAAGGTATGTGGTGTACTGGTGTAGCGTTTTAAATTTTTGTAGTACGCCCCTGGTTGTTTATCTCAAGTTGTAGTAGTTTTTTTGACGAGATAAGGCAAACACATGTTTTGTTTCTGTTACATTGTCAGGTAGAAAATTATTTCGCTTAAAATAATCAATATAATATGTGTATTT